ATTAGGCACGAGCCCAGTGATATCTTTTGCTGTTTAGTTCTTTGGAACAACAGGGAAATAATTTAGATAGAATGCTCAAAAGGATCAGATGGAGAAAACTGTCAAAATACATCCTCCCATTTTCCAGTAATATAGGGCACCTTCCATTGCTTAGCACCTTTCTCCCCCCTTCCCAATATGAAGGGTTCACACATCTCCCTTTGGAACCTGAGAGAGAGATGGCCTGGGTTTCTGGGCATCCATGTGGGTCTCCTCCTATCTTCCTCAGAAGACATCAAATTTTGCTAACTAGACTCTCTCCCACATTTCTAGAATTCAGCCAAGTCTTCCCTTAGAAAATAGGACAAGAAAGCTCTTGTCAGGTTTTTGTCCCAACTCCTAGTTCAAGCAAGTCAATTATATCATAGGACATAAAAATTCTGGTTCTGGAAAATATCATCCTGGAAATGTAGTTGGTGGAGCTTTCAGGGGCATAATTCAAAGGAGATAGAACCCTATCTGGGAAGCCAGACATTATTCCTCTAGAGCCAGACAAACCCACTCAGGGAAACTGGTCTGGTGGGGCCATTCCTCATAAAATGCAGTGTGGCTGCATGTAAAGAATCCTTACACAAGCCTGAGTGCAAATCCAAGCTCTACCCATACAGTCCTACAGCCCTAAGACATTTATCTCAGAGGTCAGAAAAATGTCTCAGCAAGTCTCTTGCTACCAAGACTGATGGCCTGAGTTCGATCCCCCAGATCCACACAATGGAAGGAGAAAAACCAACTCCGCCAATGTCCTTTGAGCACCTTGGCACATGTGTGCACATATACTCACAAATAAATAATGCAAAGCCACAGTCACACAGGTGACCTCGGGTAAGCTCATGGGGTCTCAAAGAAAAATAAAGAAAATAACAAAAGCATATGAATATGGAAAAGGAACATAAAGAAAAGATGAAGGGCGGGCAGTGGTGACGCACACCTTTAATCCCAGTACTTGAGAGGCAGAGGCAGGCAGATCTCTGAGTTCGAGGCCAGCCTGGTCTACAGAGTGAGTTCTAAGACAGCCAGAGCTACACAGAGAAACCCTGTCTCAAAAAGATGAGAGGTTGATAAGAACAGGAGGGACAGAGGAGGGCGGGGTCAAAAGGAACCTGAATGTAATGAATACATGGATGAAAATGGCAAAGAACAGATTTAAAACACAAAAGCTTTTCCTGATTAGAAAGAAAAAATTATCTCATCTGTTTTGTCAGCTGTAAAACAGGATTGTTAATGGCACTGACTTCATCTGCCTGGAATGAAGGACAAATGAGACTGTAAGACACTTGGTCCAGCCATGCTCAACACTCAGTAGATAGTAGCTACTAGCGATTGTGCTAAAGAGAGAGAGAATCATGACTTCTTCCCTTGGCCAAACCTGAATCAAACCCAAGCACTGTATCAGGAGGGAGACTCAGACCTTGAAGAAGAATCAAGTGGCTTCTGTTGTTTGATTCTTAAATGGTCTTTAAAAAAAAAAAAAAAACCAAAGTCAGATATCAGGTGAAAGCTGAAAGATCAGAGAAGCAGAACAGCCAGCCACCAGTTCTTACCTCCACGATATCCTCAGGCTAAAGAGAGTGAGTTCCTGTTTCCTCACTTCCTGGGATTAAAGGCATGTGTGCTTCCCAGTACTGGGATTAAAGGTCTGTGCCACCCCTGCCTGGCTCTGTTTTTAGTGTGGCCTTGAACTCACAGAGATCCAGATGGATTTCTGCCTCCTGAGTGATAGGATTAAGGGTGTGTGCCACCACTGCCTGGCCTCTATGTCTAGTCTAGTGGCTGGCTTTGTCCTCTGATCCTTAGGCCAGTTTATTAGGATACACAATATATCACCACAGCCTTCAGATGAAGGGTGGGTGGGAGGTGGGACAAATCTAGAAACAGGGGACAGAGGCAGATCCACCAGGCACTGCTCTAGGAAGACATCCTCGATGGTGGGAGGATGCTCCCGGAGGCACAGACGTGCTTAGGCACTTTGTTTTCTCATCTTCTGACTTTGGGACTTTATTTTTAGGTAGGAAAAAAAAAATAACTGTGGCTGTAGCACCTCCCTCTCCCACTCAGCGAAGATCTCTTCCAGGGCAGTTTGTTTGCTGAGCTATACTGGTAAAGGCTGAGAAAGCTGACACCAGATTTTCTCGCCTTACTTTGGAAAAAAAGGAAAACATGCTCGCTGGCACCATAGTGTAGGGAGGCACTTTTTGATGGAATCTGACAACAACTGAACAAGAACCTCTGCTTACCCTATCCAGTGGCATGCACACCAAGCCCAAGGCACAGGTCAGCAGCCAGAAAGCACATCAGAGCTGCAGGCTGCAGCCCCTCCCAAGCTGTTTGGGAGTGGGCTCCAGGTGTGTATACCAAATGCAGAGGCTGAGTTGAGAGGTAGTGTTTTATTAATCCAAGAATACACATGCCCTGCCGAACCAAGTCATCTTTGCGTCTGGTTTTGGCAGATGAAAATGTGCCAAAAGGCAATGTTAGCACAGGCCCATGCTAATTTTAGAAAGAATGCAACAGGATGCCTAAGAGATAAATAGCAAGAGGCACAGCCTGGTGCAAAGCCATTGGAACAAATCCCATGCAGCAACAGCTCTAGCAGGAACCTAGGTGGTGTTTGCTGGTACGTGTCTATATTAGTTAGTACATGGCTACCTAATTGGTGCTACTAGGGCTAAAAATATGAGCATATTGCGTGTTCATGCCCGTGTCCATGCCTAAGAGGGAGCTGTGTTGCTTGCTTAGGCAAAAACATCTCTAGAATGGTCTGTGTCAAGCTACTGTTCAAAATGTTCACGCAACACGTTTTTGGTTTTTTTTTCCCAAAGCGTGGAACAAAGATTCCTGGCCCATACATTTTCATTTTAATCACTATGTGTTCGTTTTCACATGGATGATGAAACCCATCCTTTCATGAATGTTGGCTTAATGCTTAGACGAGATGAAAAAGCGAGGCAATCTAAAGAAAAAACTGGTGATGGGGCAAACATCAAAAAGTGGAGTAGTGGAGTCAAGGAAATGCAGGTCCTCTTGCTCAGCGTTGCTGCACCCCAATATCCACATGACAAAGTACAGCTCATCCCCAGACAGAGCCTCAGCTCCAGCCAGGAGCCTTGCAGACTCTTGGTAGGGATATGACAGGGCATGTGCAAGCCAATTTCTTCATTTCTGCTATGTATCCTTTGGAAATAATTTGTTTTTTATCTCCACTGAATTGCCTTTATAAACAAAAGTCTAAATGTTTCATTCTGATATACAAGGATATAGCTTCAAAATATATATGCATATAGATGTATATGTTACATATTATATATTACATTATATATAATATATTATATAAATATATGATATAATATATAATATAATATAATTATATATTATTTTATATAATATATATATAATAATATGTTTTATATATATATATAACAAAGGAATATACTGGGGAGGTGGGAACTTGGAGGCTAAAACTGAGTATATCCCCCATGATCCCAAATCCCTCACTATACATAGAAGGAATCTTTCTGACACTTAAGCTCCCACCCAACACCCCAGCCCTAGCAAATCACAGCTTACAGACTAAAAGGCCTGTTCATCTCAAAGGAGAGAAACTGGGCAATTGTGAAATCTCCCAGGCTTTGCACCTGGAGTGAAGTCCCAGTATTGTCAATCACTAGCTGTGGCTGGTGGTTGATGTAGATAGATAGATAGATAGATAGATAGATAGATAGATAGATAGATAGATAGATAGATAGATAGATAGATAGACAGACAGACAGACATAGAGAGATAGAGATAGAGAGATAGTGTCTGTGTGTGTATGTGTAGGTGAGTAGTGAATGTGTTCCTCAGCATGCCTGTGGAAGTCAGAATACAGCCTGTGGAAGTTAACTGTCTCCTACTCTGTGGGTCCAAGAGATCAAACTCAGATCAGTCAGGCTTAGCAGCAAGCACCTTCACCTGCTGAGTATCTCCCCAGCCCATTAGCCTTGTCTCCTGCAGAACCTCCTTGAATGCTCACAGAGCCTCTACTACCAGCCCTGAAAATGGGTGTAAAACATGTTATTCATAGTGTTGTTATAAGGATAAAATGAGACATTTTATATACATATATATATATATATATATAATATGTAATATATATACATCTATATGTATATATATTTTGAAGCTATATCCTTGTATATCAGAATGAAACAAAGTTCAGGATATGTGCACTGAGAGGCTCTTTAACAAACCCTCATTGAATGGCAGCTGCTGTTGTCCATGGATAATTCATGGGAGAGGATTTGCAGCCTGTTGTAGGTTTCATTAATTACCCCAGAGATCCCAGTAAGAGTTCCAATTCAATAGTTTGGCTAGAGTGGGCCTAGCTGGATCCGGGGCTATTGCTGTAGAATGGGAAACACTCTCAAGTGATCTCATGGCCAAGTATGAGTTTGTCTTCTACATGTCACAGAAGATAAAATAGAGATGGGGACCGGGCGGTGGTGGCGCATGCCTTTAATCCCAGCACTCGGGAGGCAGAGCCAGGTGGATCTCTGTGAGTTCGAGGCCCACCTGGGCTACAGAGTGAGCTCCAGGAAAGGCGCAAAGCTACACAGAGAACCCCTGTCTCTGAGAAAAAAAAAAAATAGAGATGAAGAGTCAGGAAACCTAAGTTCATTGGGACAGGGTTTCACAGTGTGGCCCAGGCTAAACTGGAACTCACAGCAATCCTCTTGCCTCAGCTTCCTGAGTTCAGTAATTAGAGTCATGAGCCACCACACCCAGCTTAGACCTAAGTTCTACCTCTGACTACTGGGCAGCCCCATCCCTTCAAGTCCCTGAGCCTCAGCTGCCAGAATTTACCGCTGCCTGCTCCTCTGCCCCTGTGCGTGGTAAACGTGTTCCCATAGCACTCACAGCAAGGGCTGCTAATGCCCCAAGCGCGGCCCCCTTCTCCTCGGTCCTCCTTGACTCGTCTGTGCCAGATATCGTGGACATCAAGCCAGCAAACATGGAGGAGCTCACAGAGGTGATCACCGCGGCCGAGTTCCACCCTCATCACTGCAACACCTTTGTATACAGCAGCAGCAAGGGGACGATCCGGCTGTGCGACATGCGGGCGTCCGCCCTGTGTGACAGGCACACCAAGTGTGAGTATCAGCACCAGGGGGGGGGGGGGGGGGGGGGGGGGGGGGGGGGGACCACGCACGGTGAGTGCGCCACTGCCACCCGGCATCAGAAAATTATTTTTATTGCCACTTCATGACTGTAATTTTGCTACTATTGTGAATCACAATATAAATATCTGATATGCAGGATATCTGATATGCAACCCCCCAAAGGGGTCATGGCCCACAGGTTGAGAACCACTGGGTAGGCAAAGCAGGGAAAGAAGGAGGTAGGCGTAAATGCAGGGGTAGGGGAAGCGGGGAGGAGGACATGCCCAGTGGCTGATATAAATGGTATGTGGGATGGGAGCTACGGGAAGTCATACTAGGCATGAAGCATTTGTGTTCAGTTTGGGACCTGCTGTGTGTGAGGTAACATGAGCCACCTTAAGAGACAGGTTCTCTCCGGTAAGTGAATATGGAACAAGGTGGGTGGACACCGGCCGGAGATATTTCTGAGGGGCCCTAAGAAGCTCTGATGCCCTCCCAGCCAGTGTGACAGATACGAGCCTGGGCTTTAGAGTCAGGCAGGCCCACGTGAGTCCTGAATGCAGAGGAATGAACTGTGAACTTACTGGGAAAATTGCTGAGCCCAGAACTCAAGCTGGAGAATGGACAACGCTCTCGGAGGTTTTTAAGTGAGAATGGTTTAGAATGAAAGGTACTTGAGGAGTAGAGCTAAACCCTGGCACTTGGTGCCTGTGTGACCTCAGGCAATCCTCCTGAGCCCCACAGTCCTCCCAGGGCATGTGGGCAGAAGAGATCAACACTGCTACATGAATAAGGCAGTGCTGGTATCTTCTGAGCATGAGGCGGGAGCAATAGATGGCAACCAGAATGGTTTCCATCCACTTCCAGAAGCACCGAAGCCTGCAGCTGTAAGGTAGTCAGAACCTCTACCCTTTTGCCAGAAACAGGAGGCCCCATCATTCACTATTCATATTCACCAAGCACGTACCATATGCCAGATATATCCAACTCTGGAGACACAAGGATGAGCAAAAGCAGATGTTCTTCTCTCTGTCTCTTGGAGCTCACTATATTAGGAAGGTCTTGCAGAGAAGAGGGAATGGTGGGTGGCATGTATAAAGAGATTTATTATTAGGAACTGGCTCACATATGAAGATTGAATCCTCAGATCTGCTGCAGTCAGCAAGCTCAAGTTCTGGGATTGGGGGGCGGTCTTCCATTCCACATGCCACCGGGCTGAAGACCCAAGTGCCTCAATTCAACTCCAATGGGTAATCATCCCAACCCCCCAAATCAGTCAGGTGGAAAGAGTCAGGTGGACACTCACAAGAGGACCAACACTTTCTGCCAATCAGCCCTTCACCTGATTGGATGAGGCTCATCCACATTAAGAGGTCAATATTTATTCAGTCTATTAATTTAAATGTTAAACTTATCCCAAAACACCCTTGCAGAAACACCAGAATGTCAGACCAAGAAGCTGAGCACCTGTGACCAGTCAAGTTGACAGAGAAAATTAAGCACACTGAAGATTAAAGACACCTGCCTCCATTAGAGAATCACAAACAAATAGAGCATGGCCTGTGCACTGAGTGGCATGAAAGAGTAGCGTGTTATGCTGTCAGTTAGCATCATGGGGACCTCACAAAGCATTGATTACTGATCTGAAATGTAAAGACCAAGGAGTGAGAAGAGTACAGGGAAGGGTCATCTATGCCCACAGAAGCAGGAAGACGATCAGGACACACACCCAGGAGCCCCCAGGGTCTGCTGCTCTCTCCAGCCCTGGTGCCACACACCCCTACAAGATCAAAGTCCCGAGGACAGTCCTTAGGGAGACCCAGGAGCTAGTGAGTGAGTGCATTGCAAGCCTTCATCAAATCTGCCCATTACCCACTCCAGCCCAGCCCAGCTCTTCACTACAAGGCACCGGCCTGTTAATCTAATTAAGAAGAAATAGATTCATTTTCCTGACTGGGCCAAAAAGCTGACCTTCTTCAGGGCACACCTCTTTTTGTTCCAAAGCCACCCAGCCCCAGCTCCTGCCAACTGGGGAGGCCCGTGTTCTGACCTCCTGCCTGACATCTCATATTGATTTTCTTCATTCTCCTCCAATGCCAGCCTGCAGTGGGCTGAGGCTCAGGCGAGGTGTGTGAGCGGCACGAGACAGTTCATCAGAGTTCAAAATGAAAAGCAGCATTGGCTTTCGGAGACGAGCACAGAGGAGGAGGGTATTTAATAACCGTCGGCGTTTAATCAAAACGCCGAGGAAAACCGTGTTATCAGAGCCGAATATATTAATTTCCATATGTCCCTCACTCTGCATGCTCAGCAGGGGTTGGAGGGGATGATTTGCCCTCTCCCTCTCTATTTTCTGATTTTTTTTTTTCCATTGCTTCTGGCGGCAGTGAGGTGTTTGCATTGGTAGTCTGAGGCGCCTGAGACAAAGGGTGCCGATGACAGTGAGGCTCTCTCTGCCGGACCGACCCTGCTTCTTTCTTTCCACACACACGTCCTGGGAAGTGGGTGAAGGAACTGGCCAGGTGATGTGAAAGCCAGCCTAAAAACTGAAAGAGTTGAAACGCAAGCTCCTGTCCTGCACCCACAAGGATCATCTTCCGACCCCGTCTCCACCCTCCAAGCTCCAGGGAACCTGACCACACTGGCCCTTTTCCTGTACCGCCAACATTTTTAGTCCCTTCCTGCCCCGGGGTGTTTGCATAAGTTCTTCCTCTTGTCTGGAACACCCTTCCACCATAACCCTCAATTATCATATGACTGCTGTGGAGCCAGATTGAGCACTTGTGGGAGAGAAACAGGTGGATGGTACCTATGAGAGAAGGTGTATCCACTTACCAAAGATGCTTTAGCCAAGTGCTTTAGCCAACTGACTAACAGCAAAATGTTACTGTCTCACAATTCTCTTTTTCAGTTTTTAAATTTTGTTTAGTGGGGGGCATGTGTTGTAAATGCGGGCATGCATGTACCACATCCTTATTCATTCTGTTCATGTAAACACTAAGCTCACATGAAGGTCAGTGGACAGCTTTCAGGGGGCGGTTCTCTCCCTCCTTCTACCTGTGTGGCAGGATCTCTCCTCTTGCTTCTGGAGCACTGTGTCTAGCTGTCCTGCAAGTTCCTGAGCAGTCCCTCCATCTTGGCCTCCCATGTTTCCATAGAAATGCTGCGATTACAGATATGTGCTGCTGTATATCCAGCATTTTTATGTGGACTCTGGAATCGAGCACAGGTTTTCAGGCATTCTTACCAGCTGAGCTATCTTACTGGGCCCTGACTCAGTTCTCAGAAAGGTGTCAGCAGGCAGGAGAGCCATCTTCTCCCTGTGTGTACACATCATCTTTTGTGTGTGTGTGTGTGTGTGTGTGTGTGTGTGTGTGTGTGTGTGTGTGTGTGTGTGTTCAAAATTCCCCTTCTTTATAAGAGTCATCTTGAGTTAGGGCTTATCTAGTGATGTCATGTCCTCTTTTAAGCCCCGATCTCTAAAAACAGTCACATTCTTAGGCATGGGGACGAGATAGGACCTCTACCTGTTAGTTGTGGGTGGCAAAATTTGGCCCCTACAGGAGGGAGAGATGAGAAATTCTGCAAGTGGGCAGGCCCAGGAGCTTCCTGTCCTGGTCTTGTCCCTTCCTGCGGGCCATTGCTTTACGCGCAGGCAGTAAGGACAGAAAAAGTTCCCGGACATCAGGCTCACACAGTCTTCAGACACGTGAGCGCAGGAAGTGTGGCCCTTTTGAAAAGCAGTGCAGAGATGGAGGACCAAAGGAACAGACCCCAGGAACTATAAGGTAGAAAGGAACAGACCACAAGAACTGTAAGGTAGAAAGGCTTCATGGTCCTGACTTCAGGGAGAATGCCGTCTGGGAACTTTCCGTGGTCCTGAAGCAGTTTTCCTTCCAAAGAGGATTTTGTTTCAGAGGTTCTGAGCTGCTCTGTTTCCTGCTCAAAAGTCACCCTTCAGAGACAATAAGTAGAATTTGAGTTTATTAATAAGTCAAACCATGTTAGCAACATAAAATAAAAAGGGCAGAAATGTTGATAGTCAATTATAAAGAACTTTGTTTTAAAATCAGTCTTCATTATCCGTTTGTCTGAAATGAACGTGAATTTGCATACTAGTTAAAAAGAAAAAAAGAATCAGAGAAACTCACAGTTGGGACTGGGATATGCTGAAGGAGTGGAGAGAATTGACTTTCTAGGGCTCTGTGGACTTGAAGACGAGAACAAGTGAGTTGTCTGTGATGACTTAGTGAGCTGCAAAGTGAGAACGACTGTGCCCAGAGACCATCAGAGACCAGCTGCAAGGAAGGATGCTGGATGGCCTGGAATGTGGGGCTATCTTCTAGATTGACACTAGGTTGGAGCTGTACGTGTATAATTTAGAGAGAGTCCATGAGTAGAAGGGGAGTGCCCTGACTCCACTATGGGATCTTCAGGAAAGAGCAACACTCCCTACACTTCTAAGGGCCCATCAGAGGCACAGGAGGTGTGACAGGTGATGTGGAGTCCTGCCTGGTGTCCCCTCCACACAAGGCCCAGGATAGCTTTGCTCTTTTTCCTTCCAGACAGCAGTGAGTGGACTCAGAGACTGGGTCAGGAGTACAAGGAAGACCAGGTGACCACTCTCAGCCTGGGACACACTGGCCAAACCGAGCAATCTTGAGCAGGTTACCTCTCTCTACCTGTTTTCTCACCTGCATAAAAAAAATGGCTAGTGGTTGTACTTGCCTTGTAGGCAGTTGGAGGATTAAATGCAGTACCACCCATGAAACCTCAGAACAAGGTCTGACATAACATGGTGCAAGATGAAAAATCTCTCTTTCTTTCTCTCTCTCTCTCTCTCTCACCCTCCCTCCCTCCCTCTCTCCCTCTCTCCCTCTCCTTCTTCCTCCCCCTTTCCTTCACCCTCCCCCTCCCCTCTCCCACTCTTCCCTACCATGTGTGTCTTATTTTAAGAGTAAAACCAGGAGGATAGGCAGTGATAGTGAAGA